CACTTGAGATTTTCTTTTTCTTTTCCTAAGATACTTAATAATCAACATAAACCCTAAAAAACTATTAATGGTACTTGGACTATTTGGTTACTATCCCTGGCATTATGGAGCATGAGACTTTTTCTTGGACTTAGGATTAGAAACCTTGGCCTATCTTGGAGGCCTTGTGATCTTATCTGATTATTTTGTATGGAGCTCTTGAGGTTTTCCTCAAGACATTGGGTTTCTTGTTTGTTTTTGTGATTACATCCTTTGTTTGTAATATGGAATTCACCCGTATACAGTCGTTACTCTGCCCAATTTTTGTGAAGACTTAATACACTTGAAGTTTGGTTCTCTCAAGAGGTCTAGTATCTTTGCTTGCTTGGTTTCAATCTAAAGAATGGGAATTTTATCTTGGCTCATAATGTCAAACTTTGGATTCTTGTTGGTTAGATGGATCTTATCCTTAGCTTTTACCTTATGCTTTAGGATAGCCTATTCAACTCCCCCCATCTTCTTTAATTTCAAAAATCTTCTCCCTCCTTTTTAAACTCTTCTTGTTTTGAAACTTAAACTATTTTCATAATAAACTTGGACTTATGTCCATGCATTTTCAAAATATTTTCATAAATAAACTTCAATATATTTAATAATACTTTGACACTTTTTGTGAGAAGACTAAAAGTCAATCAATCTCATTTCAAACCATTTTGCCACTTTGGCCTTTTTATCTTTAAACTTTTCTCAAAAGGTTAGACTCTTTTCAATCCTTGTAGTGATGCAAACAACTATACTTCTATAATATGTACTGAAGTGAGATATTTTCCACTTGGGTGTTGAGTGAGGTATTATTGATTTTAAAATCCAAGCCATTATCCTCCACTTTGAAATGATGCAAATTCTCCTTTCTCATGATTGTGGGTAGTAAGTATGTTTTCCACACGGACAATGACGATGATGTCTTATCTCTTAAAACCAACTAACACACTTGTGTTTCAAATTTTTAAAAGAGGAACTATGTGTACCCTGATCCCCTATTTCATGAAAGGTGGTACGTAGACACTAAAGGTTCGCAACCGCGGTGGGTGCAAAAATCATAAAATATATATTTCTTTCCTCACCTCCACCATCCATTTTTTTATATAACATATTTTTATAGCCAAAATATACAGATTTTTCAAAGAGGTTCTTGCGGAGTACCGTAGATGTTTAGGGTGCTAATACCTTCCCTTTGCATAACCAACCCCCTTACCTTGAATCTTTCCCCCTCTTTTGGGTTATTCACTCTTTTCCCATTCCTTTGGAAACAATAAAGCGCGGTAGTGATTTTTATTTTGATTTGTATAAAGTCTAGTCAATCCAATGGCTTAGTCTTGAACATTTCTACCGCTATAATTCCCAGTTCCTAATTTAGGAGGAAGTTAGGTTTCCCGTGTTGGATTACAATGATGTTTTGTTTATTATGATGATATGGTGATGTTCTGAAGATGCTTTGTTTATTATTATGATATGATGATATTGTGATGAATTCATGGATGATGATGCATGTTGACTAGCCATAGTCGTGTTTATATGTTGTTGCGCATCGTGCATTTATAGCATATTGTAGGACTTTGGTCCAATGACGTTTTGCAGGATATTGATCCAGTGATGTATGTAGGACGATATGGTCCAGTGATGGCCTCAATCCAATAGTGTGGATTGATTTCAATTTTGTGAAGTGCTCTGGTTTCAAGTTGGAATCGATCATATTGGTGGGGATCTTTGAAGATAATGATGACTGAGTCATCAGTGAAGTTTTGGTACCACATGCGTGAGTCAAATGAAGTGCATTTTCATTATATGTGACATTGTATAATGATTAATTACATGATAATGATAATGTGATTCTAATTTTGATACTTGATGATGTGTATTGACATGATGACATAATGATGTGTTTAATATGAGTATATGATGGTGTGAGTATAACGTGAGGATGTAACAATGTGTGGTTTCTTGCTGTTGTGTCATAAGTACTATATTTATTCCTTATATATTTTATAATAATTATGATTTACTCACCCTTTCTATTTGAATGTTTCCTCCACGTGGGTAACATGCAGATGTCCAGGAATAATGTAGTGAAGTTTAGAGAATAGCTTCAGAGTGTGTTTATTTGCTTTTCATTTAATAAAGGGAGTCTTGCTATGATATATAACATCGGGGTTGGGATCGATTGGTTGTGAACCATGCATGATTTTGTTATATTGAGATTTTGTATTACTTTCATGATTTTTTTCCATGTTTTGGATATTGGTGTTATAAACATGAAGCGTGCTGATTTTATTAATATTTGAACTACCTTTTATGATATTGAGATTATTTTATGAAGAAGTTTAAGACTCTTATTTCCGCTGTGAAGTTCAAAATGAAATGGTTGTGACACCAAAGATTCTATTTATGATTTAAAGTGTTTTTAAAACCCGTGTTACAGAGCAGGATTATTTGTTATATGATGTTTATGTGAAGATGTGGCATCCTTGCTATTGTTTTACGTTTATATATTTATTAAAATATTCGTGAAAAACATGGGATTTTAGAAGGGTGTTATAGAGAATATGTGTTGAAAGACTTTGACATATTATGTGAGAAAGAATGGATTGTGCATGAGGTGGTTCCACCCTATACTCCATAATAAAATGGAATTGTTGAAAGGAAGAATCTAACCATCATGAATATGGTTAGAAGTATGTTGAAAGAAAAGAATTCACCTAAAGAATTTTAGGTTGAAGCTGTGTTGACTGTAACATACATCATGAACAAATGTCTGATGAAGAATCTAGAAGGAATCACGCTAGAAGAATGTAGGTCTGGTGTCAAGCCTAAGAGAGAAAGGTATACAGACTGCATAAAGTCTTGTATGGACTCAAACAAGCTCCAAGAGCTTGGAATAAGAAGATTGACAATTTCCAAAGGGAGAAGGAATTTGTGAAGTGCAAAACTGAGTATGAAGTATATATAAGGAGAAGTAAAGTGAATTCCTTATAATATGTCTATATATCGATAACTTGTTGATAAAATGTAGCTACAAGAAAGAGATCGAAGACTTCAAAGGTGATCTTAGCAAGGAATTCAAAATGTCTGATCTGGGCGATATTTCATATTTTCTTGGCATCAAATTCTACAAGAGTAGTAGAGGTTTGATGATGCACCAAAAAAGATATGCAAGTGAAATACTCAAGATATTTGAGACGGAAGACTACAACTCGACTTCGACATCTGCCGAACCAAGACTGCAATTGTCGAAAGACACAGATGAAGATGATTTTGACCCAACACAATACATAAGACTTATTGGGTCATTAAGTATCTTTGTCACACAAGGCTTGATCTAGCATACAATGTAGGTATGATGAGTAGATTCATGCAGAAGCCAAAAGTATCACATCTAGCAGTGACAAAGAGGATACTAAGGTCTCTGAAAGGAACTCTCGACTATGACATTTTATTTCCAGTAGTTGATGAAGGAAAAGAATGTAAGCTAGTGGAATACACCGACTCAAGTTAGTGTAGTAATGTTGAGGATTGAAAATCCACATGCAATATGCTTATGCTAGCTGGTGCGCCAGTTGCTTGAAGTTCGAGAAAATAACCAATAGTGGGATTATCTTTGTGTGAAGTAGAGTACATAGATGCTTATCTTTGTGCATGTCAAGCAACATGGATGGTGAATCTGGTCGAAGAGATCACAACAAAGGATTATGGAACAATTACCATGAAAATCGGCAGCATGTGAGCTATCAATCTAACGAAGACTCTGGTAGCACATGATCGAAGCAAGCACATCGAAGTGAGGTTTCATTATCTTAGGTAGCAAAAAAGAAGCTGAACTTGGAACACTAATAAACTGAGAATGAGATTCAGCTATCAATTTAACGAAGAATCTGATAGCACATGATCAAAACAAGCACATCGAAATGAGGTTCCATTATCTTCTAGAGCAGGTAGCAAAAGGGAAGCTAAACTTGGAACATTTATTAACTAAGAATCAAATTGCATACATCAAGGCGAAAGGAGTGCAGGTCGAAGTGTTCAAGAAGTTAAAATTAATGATGAATGTAGGTAGCTTAGACACAATGAATTAGGTGTTGTGTTGAGAATGTAATTCGTGGTGTCGAAGCATGTTTCTATCAGAGCTGTCGAAACGTCAAAGCAGGTTGCTCGACAGTTTTTTCGACTTAGATTTATTTTTTGTATTTTTTTGGGCTTTTGTATTTTACACTTTGACTTAGGAAGCAAACAAGCACCATTATAAATAGATGGAGTAACATCTATTATTGCACATGTGAATAATATTACAAAAGAGTAGAGAGTTTACTCTGCAAAATTTACAAACTCTTCTTCTTCCTTTTCGTTAAACCTTAACTTCCCTTTCTTCCCAATTCATCTTTTCTTTTCTTCTCCATTGTCATTATGCAGTGATTATCATCTTGCAACTAAGCTGGTTGATTCACTTGAGTGAAGAATGAAAAACAAAATTTTTTAATCGAGTTCATTGAATCTTATTCATCACGATTAATTCAAAATTCTTAAAATACTTATATAACATGAGAAATATAAATTTTTTAATCATATGTAATATTATTTTATAGTGTGAGTGTACTTAGCTTTAAACTCTTAGAATAAGGTGTAGGGGTGTCATGACTATAATTATCGTGTAATGGGCTTTGTAATGACTTGGAGGAACCGACAGTCCAATAAATCAAACAAGTAACATCCTAGTACAAAGGTGAGTCAACTCGGAGCGGGTGAGGCTTGAAAAAAAACAAAAGCAAAAGCCGAGTAACGATGTTGACCTTTTCGGTTACCGTTACTGTCTTTTTCCTACACAAATCAAACGTAAACAATTTTCAAATTTCAAATTTCTCTACTTTTAACCAAATCCACAATTTCAAACCAAAAAAAAAAACTCTCTTTTTCTATCTCTGCTTTACATCCTCACAATTTTGAGAAGCATAAACGGTTTCTTCTCTCCAATGGGTGCTTCAGGAAAATGGTTCAAGTCATTTCTTTCTCATAAAAAAATCTCATCTTCAACCACAACAACCGATCAAGTAAAACAACCTTTTTTTTCTCCTATTTTAATATGTTGTGGTGTTGTTTAGTGTTAATTGATTTGTTAATGTTTGTTAAGGAGAAGAAGATTAATGGTGATAACAAGAGTGTTACTAGTAAGAAGAAATGGAAGCTATGGAAGTCATCTTCAGAAGGATCTTCTTCAAGCATGAAGAAGGGTGGTTGTAGCACTTCGCTTACTGCTGCTGCGGTTGCTGTGGTGGTTCGAGCTCAACCTAAGGATTTTAACCTCATCAGGCAGGAATGGGCGGCTATTCGAATTCAGGCTCTTTTTCGAGCTTTCTTGGTAACTGTTTCTTTTCTTGGTTTAGGGTTTTAAGCTTGCTATGATTATAATGTTTTCAGTTTTTCATCACATAGTGCTATTTCTGAAATTAATCATGTTAGAATTTCCAAGTTTACTTTAGTCTATGTTTTATGAGGATTTGATCAGTATATTAGGCATGTGCAAGGTTTTCAATTTTGCTGTAATCTCGATTGCGGTTTTTTGCGGTTTTTGTGGCCATTTTCGTGGTAACGGATATGTCTCTTGACTCTTGAGCTTATTTTTGTATTGTAGGCTAGAAGAGCTTTGAGGGCATTGAGGGCAGTGGTGAGGCTGCAAGCTATATTTAGAGGCAGGCAAGTGCGAAAACAAGCCGCGGTTACTCTAAGGTGCATGCAGGCTCTTGTTAGAGTTCAAGCTCGGGTAAGGGCTAGGAATGTTAGGAAATCTCCAGAAGGCAAAGCAGTTCAGCAGTTGTTAGACGAACATCGCAACCAAGCCGATTCTGTTAAATTTGTAGAGGTAGTAAGCTCTATAAATTGCTTCAAAATATTACATTCGATGATATATTCTAACACAGAAAATTTTGCTATGTTATTTGTTATCAGCAAGGATGGTGTGAAATTCCTGGTACTGCAGATGAAGTTAAAGCAAAGCTAAGGCTGAGGCAAGAAGGAGCTATCAAGAGGGATAGAGCAATGGCGTACTCTCTATCGGCGCAGGTAATTAAGTCGAGAACAACGTTAGTTTGTTTCTTTGGTAAGATTGAAATTAGTATTACCAAACTCATTTGGTTTTGTCCCAATAACTGTGCTTGCTTGCTTATATTTTGCAGTCAAGAATGAGTGCTAGTCCAAACTCAAAATCAATGACTCCTCTCAAGCATCATCACAACCGTGACAACAAGAGCCTAGGAAACGGTTTATTAGAACGCTGGATGGCAAACAAGCCATGGGAGAGTCCAATGTCAATCAGGAAGAGTGAAGAAATTGTTCCTACTTTTCAAACAAGAAGAAATGGTATGACAACTAGGATTTCAGCTCTCAAAATCTGTCAGCAAACTCCATCATCTTCCACCATAAGCTCCGAATACATGAATGACGATAGCGTTATATCATCTTCATGTACATCTGGATCTCCATCTATTATGCCATTCAGCAATAATACTGTTAAAGTGGAAGTAACAGAAGAAAAACATGTACCAAGCTACATGAGTTTGACAGAATCAACTAAGGCTAAACTCAAAGCTTACAGGAGTTCTTCGCAGAATTCTAAGAGAATCACAATGGACGATTGTCTGTCTCATAACACAAATTCAACCTTTCTGAATGGATATAATAGTATAAGCAGTTCTGGTTCCGACCCTTCAGTTAATATATGGAAGGATCGTTGTGCAACACCTCTACGAGCAAGTTATTATCAAAAACGATACGGCAGGAGATAGACAACAGTTGCAGCCTGTGTGATGTGTCTATTTTCAATGAGTTCAACAGCTTGTTGTCCATTGTCATCTTGACACAGTGAGACAAACAAATTTTGTTTTTCTGCAACAACAAATAGCATCAGTGCTTTTTGTTACATCAGTACTTTTTTCTGAGAAAGGGGCTGATTTATAGTGTAGATAAAACATGGATTCTGTGAGAAATGAAATAGCAAACTATTGCACTACATTAATTTATGTTGTGTGTTTTAACTCATACATGGTAGTTGTTTTTTATTGGTCTTATAATCACATACATAGATTTCTACTTAGTTTATATTTGGATTAGCGATGAATCACTGAATTTCAAAGTTTCAACAAAAACTTTGACAAAATCATGGTGTCACCGAAACTTACTTCGGTGACCTCATGTGTTAAGAAGTTACATTTTTTTTTTTTGAGTTTTAGTTACATTTCTTATATTTTTTGTTCGCTTTAGTTATAACATCCTTAGATTATTGAAAAATATCATATGAAAATCTGAAAATATCCTCTAATTTTCAGAAATACATTTTAAAAAATTCTCTAAATGAAAAATATCACACGAAATACATACGTAAATGAAATATACCTTTATTTTATAAAAAAGAATAGTCCGGAAATACATTTTTGAAAAAAATTTATTTTCCCATATATTACCCAAATTCACTAGTGTAGTTTCTATTAAAAAGATTTAATAATTAAAATTAAGAAAAACAAAGTCTATAATATCTCCTGTAAACTTCTTTTTTAATATTATTGAATTAATAATATTATTCTAACTTAGATGTTTAATATTAAAAATTAACCAAAGGAATAAAATTGAATTACAAATACTAATTATAAAATTAGCATAAAAGTATAAATTAAATTAAATGAACATAGATTAATGAAGATTTTTATAAACAAATGTCACTCATGAATTCAAAACGGGATGGATAGAGAGATAAGAGTGGGTATAAGAACATTTTACATGAATACTTTAGATTCTAGAAATATATTTCTGAAATAAATTTAGCCATAAATATGAGGTGTCTCAAAAAATGAATGAATTATGTGTTTGGGGTGTTATCATAGATATATTTTTGAATTTCGGAGACATTTTGATATTTTCGCGCGGTGCGCTAGAAAGTCTCGTAGTGTTTAAAAAACTGCCTAACATGTAACTTTTGCGTGTGACCTATAAATGTGAATGGTTAAAAAAAGCTCATGAAAACTTGATTGACCTTGTGCATACATATGTGTGCAGGATTGTTATACTAAGTTAAGTTAGGGAATTTCTTAATTTATCCTATAATAGAAAATACATTTTCGGATGCACATTTTATATCACACGCCAACGAGCAAAAATGGATTTATCCTACAAGCAAAATTAATATTATTCAGGAGATACATCTCCGTAGAATAGTATCAAATAAATTATCTATTGCCTGTTCTAGAGAGTTATACAAAGATATATATCCGAATATTTCAAGCGAGAATTTTATAAATCTGTCACATTTGCATGTTAGGATATTCCGGAGATGCATCTCTAAAAAAATCAAATGTGTTATTGGTAAAAACAGCCACATGTATAATCAAACTTCATATTTTATATTTTTATTTTTATTAGATATGGTGCATCCCGATGTTTTCCCCAAATTTATTGTGTCTCTGGAGGTAGATGTTGACAACCATTTTAGAAATGAACAAGAGTTTGAATTTTATGATCACATGCTTCAATGGATTCATATAGAGGCATCCAAACTAGGGTTTGGTGTTGTAATCAGAAGATATGTTAATGGTTCGGATAGAAGAGGTACATTTGTGACATTGACATGCGAAAGAAGTTGGAAATATAAACCTTCTCTCTGGAATTTTAAACGAGATGAAACATGTTCAAGAAAATGTGAGTGTCCCTTTAAGTTGCATGGTTATCAATTGGAAAATAACAAATGGAGATTTAATATGATATATGGTTTACATAACCATGATTTACATGAAAAGTTAGTTGGTCATCCAATTGCATGTCGCCTCATGTCGAAAGAGAAGGAATATGTTACATACATGACATTGAATTTGGTGCAACCGAAAACATATTTGCAACCTTGAAGTGTAAAAGACCCGGGAATATCGCAAATATGAGGCAAGTGTACAATATCCGCTATCAAACTAACAAAGCATTGAGGGGGGATAGAACTGAAATGCAACATCTCTTGAAAATTTTAGATGATAACAATTATGTATCTAGGTACCAAACGTGCGAGGATGGAGTAACCGTTAGATATATATTTTATACTCATCCTGATTCCATAAAGTGGTTCAAAGACCAACAAGTACAAGCTTCCATCATTGGAAATTGTTGGTACTACCTCTACTGAGAATACTTATTATGTCGGGTTTGCATTCCTAGAGTGCGATAAAAAGGAGAATTTTACTTGAGCTTTAGAGGTTTATCGAGCAAAGCTAAAGGACCAAGAAGAAATGCATAAAGTAATTGTTATCGACCGTGATATTGTTTTGATGAATTCAGTTGCAAAGATATTTCCCACTTCTTATGCATTACTTTATAGGTATCACATAACAAAGAATGTGAGAAACCGGGTTAAACCTGTGGTAGGGTCAGAGGGAATAAAGTGTGAAGATGGAGAATTGGTCAAGGCGAGCGTCATAGTGAAAAAATAATGTATACATGGAATGTTGTGATAAATTCTTCTACGAAAGAGTTATATGGCGATGATGTTATACAATTCAGAAAGGTGTGTGGCAAATATCCAAATTTATTGAAATATGTTGAAAGTATAATTTTGGAGCGGGTTAAGGAGAAGATTGTATGTGCTTAGACCGGTCAAGTTAGACACCTTGGAAATTCAACAGCAAATCGAGTTGAGTCTGTCATACTACATTGAAGAATTGGTTGGGAAATAGTAAGGGTGACTTATGTAGAGATTGAGATTTTGTGTACCAAATAATCCAAAACCAGCATAATGAGATACAAACATCATTTGGTCGTAACATCATAGTGTTGGAACACAGGTTCAAAGACAATGCTTTGTATTCTCAGTTGGTCGACAACATATCACAAGCATCTCTAAATTACATTTTTCATGAAGCCAAAAAATCTGATAATGTTGGTTTCGACAACTCATAGTGTGGTTTCACACTTAAGAAAACCTATGGTCTTCCATGTGCTTGTGTTATATCTAAAAAGTTGAAACTTGATATCCTGATACGAATGAATGAAGTTTGCACTCATTGGAAAAGGCTCAATTTTGATGATGGTGGTGTCATGAAAGACGGTAAATCAAATATCTCTCTATATTGACTGAATGGGAAGTGATACAAGAGAGATTTTTGAAAGATGATGACAACATGAAACTCCACATCAAAGAGTGATTGAGGAATATTGCATATCCTAAAATGACAGACTTGAAACCACCATCTCAACCGGTAAAAACCAAAGGAGCTCCTAAGAAGGTAAAACCTACACCGTCTGACAATTCAACGATGCAATCTCCTTTATATTTTGAACATGTTGGCAAAATTTCTCCCGATTCACCAACTCCGAAATCTCAGAAAAGTATTTTTAAAGGAGCTCGCATTAGCAAACCACCTCCTTCACCGCCTCCACCAAAAATCTCACTCATTGAAGAGATGTCAATTTTTATGCACAAATATATTGAACGGTTTGTCAATGTCAATGATGACGGTAACTGTGATTTTAGAGTTGTTTATGCTTTTCCCGGGAAAGAAGAAGAGAACCACACACTTGTATGCCATCAACTTATCCAAGAGTTAAGGGGCAATAAAGAATTATACACACGACTATACTGGAATAAAGAAAATTTTGAAGCGATTTATCACTCTCTTGTTCCTTGCATTAGTGGACCTGCATAAATGGATGTGCTTCCTTGAAATGAGTCATCTCATAGCAAGTGTGTATGGTAGAGTGTGTATTGATCTTACAAGATATGGTTTCTCAGAAACATTTTTCCACTACGCACTGCACCATCTCCAAATCCAAATGATCATATTATCTGTGTTGGGTGGGTTCCAAATCTGCAAAATTTTGTTCAAGTTTATTTGAAACCGGGATGACCTATACCACTTACATAACCAGAGTGGACAACTCATTATACAACCAAAGCCAAGACTTGACCGGACCAATTTATTGAAAGGATGCAAGAGTTCGCCAAATTTAGCAATATTGAAAGAGAAATAAATAAATAAATAAAAGTAAAAAGGGGTACCACCAATAGTTGTAGGTTTGGCCGACGACCAGTCTTTCGGTTCATTTTAGTATTTATTTATTAATTTATTGTAAGTAACATTGTATCAATGTATTATGATGTCTAATATATACACTTTGAAGTTTGTCAAAAAAAATTTGTGTTGATTACATGTTTTGTTTATGTTCTATTTTGTTCTTCCAGGGAAAGTTCTAGAAATACATCTCTGAAATAAAGGGTGATATCAGAGATGCATTTCTGGAACGTGCCCTGGTACAAGATAGAATTTCCGAGGTCAATATTAGTGTACAACTATTATAAATATAGGGCACTTGTCTTATTGTATCATACCAAAATATAATACAAAAGAAAGAATATCATTTGACATATCAGAAATGTTCATTTTATTGGTGTTACACCCTCAAGAGAACTTAAGATCACTGAGTACACCCCTCTTGAAGATCAGAAATACACACTACAGAAGCTCCTACCATACGACGACAATCATAAAATTATGAAGATCGAGTACTTCTCGCCATCTGTTGACAAAGAATGGAAGATTCAGTTCATCAACTATGAGTTGAAGAAAGGCACTGATTTAAGGGCTATGTGGAAAACATTTTTCCATTTAGAATCAAAAGTTACGATCGAGCTGGATGCGACTATTTCGAGATTGTTCGATGATATTTTATAGATGTTGTAACTTCCACCTGGATATTGAAATGTAATGTTTGATCTATGTTAAAATCCCTTACGTATTGCTGAATTTATGATAAT